AATTTCAGAGTCTAAGACCTTTCGTGAATACCGCTGTTGTGTGTGTGTGCTTGTATATATACATACGTATATATATACACATATATGTATATATGTATCTATAAATAAATATACATATAATTACATATATACGTATGTATATATATATATATATATATATATATATATATATATATACACATATATAATGTATATATTATATAATTATATATATGTATACACATACTTATACATGTATTAATGTTTGTGTATGTGTGTATGTACTTAGGAATGCCTCACACTTACAGGGTTTGCAGACTCTCAATGCCGCTGAAAGCATTTGGGTGGATGTAGGTCAGGTGGGTGTTGCCCTTGAAGCTCCTGAAAGAAAAGGGATCGAGAGTATTAGTACTCACACACACACACACACACACACACACACACACACACACACACACACACACACACACACACACACACACACACACACACACACACACAACACACACACAAACACACACACACACAATGTATATATATTTATATATATATGCATTTATATTAATATATATATATATATATATATATATATATATATATATATATATATACATATATATACACATACGCATGTATATGTACATATGTAGAGTACACACACACACACACACACACAAATATACATATATTTATATATATATATATATATATATATATATATATATATATATTTTTACATACATACATATTGAAATATAAAAATACACGCACACACACACACACACACACACACACACACACACACACACACACACACATATATATATATATATATATATATATATGTGTGTGTGTGTGTGTATACATACACACACACACACACACACACACACACACACACACACACACACACACACACACACACACACACACACACATATATATATATACGGACTGCCGCGATAGCTCAGTGGTTAGAGCACTGGACTCGTGATCCCGAGTTCAATTCCCCGTCGCGGCAGTCGTAAAAATGCCTGCGCTCTGACTGCTACCTCGAGCCTGAGAAAACGACATATCGGCTTAAGAAGTCAAACGCACAAGTGTTAACGCGCCGAACCGCGGTTGATTAGGAAGGTCATTCAATCAGGCAAGGGTGACACTGCCATATAACCTCTCAATACTGAATTGAGAGAGGCCTACGTCCTACAGTGGAATGAATGGCTGTTAAAAAATATATATACACACACACACACACACACAAATTGAAGCGAACGCGGTAGCTAGAGAAGTACCTGATATCACAACAGAAGAAATAAATAGAGCGCTTAAAGGCATGAAGAGAGGGAAAACACCAGGTGAAGACGGTATTAGTATAGACCTTATAATAGACGCGGGAGAAATTGCAACAGTGAAACTAGCCAATCTTTTTAACAAATGCCTCCTCAATGGAAAAATTCCGAAAGCCTGGAAAAATGCAACAATTATTTTGATTCATAAAAAAGGGGACAGGAAAGATCTAAAGAACTACCGACCCATAAGTCTCCTTTCAGTTACTTACAAACTGTTCACCAAAATCATCACAACTCGCATCTCTGACAGTCTGGATTCTAACCAGCCTAGAGAACAGGCAGGCTTCCGCAGTGGATTCTCAACAACAGACCACATACACACGCTTACCCAAATAAGAGAAAAAATAAACGAATATAGAAAACCCCTGTGTATGGCATTCATCGATTACGAAAAGGCATTTGACTCTGTACAAATACCAGCAGTACTAGAAGCTATTCGAAGACAGGGAGTAGAGGAGATATATTGTAAATTATTAGAAAATATATACGAAGATGGGACAGCAACCATCAAGCTCCACACAGAAACCGATAAAATCCCAATTAAGAAAGGTGTTAGACAGGGCGATACCATCTTACCAAAATTGTTTACAGCTTGCCTTGAGGAAATATTCAAGAAGCTAGAATGGACCGGAAAGGGTATTAGAATTGGGGACGAATACCTAAACAATCTAAGATTTGCAGATGATATTGTTCTCTTCAGTGAATCCGCAAATGAATTGCAGCAATTAATAAATGATTTGAATAGAGAGAGCCTGAAAGTCGGTCTTAGGATGAACAAGAAAAAGACTAAGATCATGTCAAACAGTAGAGTTCAATTCGAAGAGATACATGTTCAAGGCGAAGCACTAGAGGTAGTAGATAAGTATATATACCTAGGGCAACTCGTACAGACAAACACATCTAGCGAAGAGGAAATTAAGCGACGCATCAGTTTAGGCTGGAGCGCCTTCGGCAGACACAGTTGCATACTAAAAGGCTCCTTGCCATTATGTTTAAAAAGAAAAGTCTTTAACCAATGTATCCTCCCAGTTATGACCTATGGATCAGAAACATGGACTACAACCAAATCACTGGAAAGGAAACTAGTAAGTGCCCAGAGAGGGATGGAGAGGTTGATGCTGGGAATTAGTCTAAGAGATCGGATGAGAGCGACGTGGATTAGGGAACAGACAAAAGTGGAAGATATACTCGGGAGCATCAAAAAGAAAAAATGGCAATGGGCAGGTCATATATGCCGGAGACAGGACAACAGATGGACAAGGAAAGTAACAGACTGGGTTATAGATAACATTAGGAGGCCAAGGGCCAGACCTGTGACAAGATGGCGCGATGAAATAGCGAAATTTGGGGGCCAAGACTGGGAACAAAAAGCGCAAGACAGACATGGATGGAAAAGATTGGGAGAGGCCTACGTCCTGCAGTGGATTAACCCAGGCTGATGATGATGATGATGATGATGATATATGTGTGTGTGTGTGTGTGTGTGTGTGTGTGTGTGTGTGTGTGTGTACGACATATCGCCTTGAGAAGTCAAACGCACGTTTCTTTATCGCTAACAAGCGATAGCGCGCCAAACCGCGGTTGATTAGGAAAGGTATCAAATCAGGCAAGGGTGGCACTGAGAGAGGCTTATGTCCTACAGTGGTATAAAGGGCTGTTCAAGAAAATATATATGAATATAAATACACATATCTATATACATACATACATTTATATATGTGTATATATGAACAACTATATGTATATATATACACAGAGAGAAAATATGTATATGTATATATTTATACATACATATATATATATATATATATATATATATAAATATATATATACATATACATATGTATATATGTTTATGATATATGTATATATATAATACACGCATTCATACACACACACACACACACACACACACATATATATATATATATATATATATATATATACATATATATACATATAGATAGATAAATATAGAGACATATGCACACACGCACACACACACACACACACACACACACACACACACACACACACACACACACACACACACCTCTAGCTCCTCACGACAGGTTTGATCGAGCTGCCCAAGCCACGACTTCCTCGGTCGTCCCACAGGCCTCCTTCACTCAGGGTTGTCTCGGACAGAGACAACCTGGTGGACAGGGTCATCCTGCGGGAGTCGAGCCAAGTGCCCGTATAGCCTGAGTTGGCGGTCATGGATTGTGCAAAATAACAGGTCCTGTACCGGTCTCACGGAGCAACTGTTGGTTGAACACATGGTCCCGACAACTGTACCCCATGATCCGACGCAAGAATCTGTTTCAAAGGGCATCAAGACGAGATTCCGAAGCACAAGATAACGTCCAGGTTCCACTACCATATAGTAAAACTGGCAGTATCTGGGCCTTGAAGACACGTAGCTTGGTCCTTCTGCACAGATACTGGCATCTCCAAATGCTTTTGTTGATATATTTCATGACCCCGGCTGCCAGGCCAATCCGTCTACTGACTTCCTGGTCTGACAGCCCAGAGTCGTGAACTGCACTATTGAGGTATATAAAACTCTCTGTGACTTCGATGTTTTCACCGCAAGCACATACCGACTGTACAGTCTCCTAGCAGGCCTCCAAAATCCTGGATCTTAGTTTTGGTCCAGGAGACCTATAGCCCCAGGGGCTTTGCTTCATTGCTAAATGCATCAATAGCCGCCACTAGGGTTTCCAAAGATTCAGATAAAATGGCAACATCATCAGCAAAGTCAAAGTCTGTAACCTTGATATTGCCCAGAGTTGCTCCACAGTGAATTTGGACAGTAGCTCTACCCAGTATCCAATCCATGCAAGTGATGAAGTGCTGGTGCAAGAACACAGCCTTGCCTCACACCTGAAGTAACAGGGAAGAAACTCGACAGGCCCCCACCACACTTTACAGCACTTTCAGTGCCTGTATACAGGTTTGCTATTAATCCAACAATCTTCCATCGAGTGCTAATGAGGATGTGGTCGATCTCCTTGGCCACACTACCCATATCGCTGTACCAAGTCCAATGATTTGGGTCAGAACACTGATACCAGGAGCCAGAAATCCTCAATTTCTGGGACCTAGCAAAGTCATGGAAAAGGAGGCTATTCTCGCTGCCAGTATCAGCTCCTAAGGACCGACAGACATCTCGTAGCCAGCTTAGTCACAGCCGGATACCGCATTGAAGTCATCCAGAACAATACAAATACCTCGCCGAGGACAGCTGTCTGTCACAGATGCAAGTTTGGCGTAGAACATCTCTTTCACCTCAAGTTTATATACGTCCGTAGGAGCGTACACAGTAATAAGAAACATGAAGCCATATGAAAGCTTCAGTCTCAATACCATAATACTGGAGTGAGCGTTACTACCGAGAGTTGGAGTCTGCTGCAGATGGGTATGGCTACTCCCTGGAGATGGTGGCCATCGCTGCGGCCCGACCAGTAATAAGTTTAGCCACCCACACTAATCGTGCCGCTGCCAGGTCTTCTCACCTCCGAGAGAGCAACCACCTCAACTCTCAGCTGCTTCAATTCCCTCGACAGTAGTGGTAACCGATCGTCCTACGCAAGGGACGGACGTTGCAAGCCCCCACCCTGACAGCCCGCCTGAGGTCTAACCTCGGGCAGGCACTCCGAGTGGGCGCCACCTCTGCCATCCCTACCGATGCCGCCCCATATAGAGGGGGTTGGCTGGTTGCAGGTCCCATAATCCCACACACACACGCATATATATATATATATATATATATATATATATATATATATATATATATATATATATATATATATATATATGTATATGTATATATGTATATACATTTTTTTTAACAGCCATTCTTTCCACTGCAGGACATCTGCCTCTCTCAATTCAGTATTGCGAGGTTATATGGCAGTGTCACCCTTGCCTGATTGAATGCCCTTCCTAATCAACCGCGGTTCGGCGCGTTAAGACTTATGCCACGGCGGTGACTTCCCCTACGACACCTATGTTTGACTTCTCAAGCCGATATGTTGTTTTCTTGGGCTCGAGGTAGCAGTCAGAGCGCAGGCATTTTTACGACTGCTCTAACCACTGAGCTATCGCGACAGTCATGTATGTATATATATAATGTGCGCGCGCGCGCGCGCGCGCGCGCGTGTGTGTGTGTGTGTGTGTATGTGAGTGTGCGTGTGTGTGTGTGTGCGTGTGTGTGTTCGTGCGTGTGTGCGTGCGTGTGTGTGTGTATGTGTGTGTGTGTGTGTGTGTGTGTGTGTGTGTGTGTGTGTGTGTGTGTGTGTCTGTGTGCATGCGCGTATGTGTGTGTGTGTGTGTGTGTGTATGTGTGTGTGTGTGTGTGTGCGTGCGTGTGTGCGTGTGTGTTTGTGTGTGTGCGTGTGTGTATACCAGCACACACACACACACATATATATATGTGTGTGTGTGTATACCAACACACACACACACACTTATAGATGTATATATATATATATATATATATATATATATATATATATATATATATATATATATGTGTATGTGTGTGTGTGTGTGTGTGTGTGTGTATGTGTGTGTGTGTGTGTGTGTGTGTACCAACACACACACATATAGATGTATATATATATATATGTGTGTGTGTGTGTGAGAGAGAGTGTGTGTGTGTGTATATATATGTATATATATACATATATTTATTTATTTCTTATCTATCTATCTATCTATATATATATACAAATAAATACATATGCATATACACCTATATATAGCTGTGATTGCGTGTGTGAGTATGCGTGTGCGTATATTCACATACAATACATAAGAAAAGAGATTAACTTACAGTCTTCCAATGGCCGATCCAGAGAAGGCTTCCTCCTCCACACTCTCGATGTTATTGTAATTAAGTAAACTGATAAAGAAAAAAAGTCATTGCTGAATTTCATGAAATGAATTAAGCAATGGAGATGTTTCTGAATCTCATTTTAATATTTAGATTCAAATGAAAACGATAAACGATTTGTTTATTGATATGTGATATGTTGCAATGATGCCACAAGTTATAATTAGTTTTATGATATTGCGTTAACTTCCATACTAGTTTCATGAAGCAAAAATGTTTTATTCATAAAAATAGCAGGGGGGGGGGGGGGGGTACAGAGAATGAGCTAAGAGAGATTTTTGCATATTTTCAATTAGACTTTTTCTAAATTCCATTTTCTTAAACGCTCTCATAAATAGCTGACATTTATTCGTAATAATTTATTTTAATTCGGGAGGGTCGCTGGAAATGCTACAACTACTATTCAGACCGGCAGAGATATCTTTCTTTATTTGATCTGTATTGCATTCATAATGGAATATTTAAATGTGTGAATAAAAAAATAATCTTATAATGATTAAACTTATTGTTAAATCATGATAATAATGATAAGGAAAATGATAATGATAATAATCGTAGTAACCCTTATGGCAACAGCGCTAACAACAATAATAATGATAACAATGATAATAAAAATATCAGTATACATTTGCCAGTATCATCATTACCATTACTGTTATATTATATTATTGGTAATATCACTATTGTAATATGTAATATACCAGCAACAAAAGTAGTAATTGTATTGATATTGTCATTACCATTATTGTTTTTATTTCTATTATTGCAGCTATCTAGTTATTATTCATTATTATTATTATTATTATTATTATTATTATCATCACCATTATTACTATTTTTGTTGTTGTTTTTTCTTTTGTTGTTATCCTAATTATCATTATTAATTTGATATTATTAATTATCATTACTATTATTATCATTATTATTATTACTATTATGATCATTATTATTAGTTTTTATCACTATTATTATTCGTTATTATTGATATAATTGTTGTTATCATTTCCATTGTTATCATTATCATTAGTAGTAGTAGTATCTTTTTATTGTTATTATTACCATTATAATCATTGTTGATATTATAATTGTATTATCATAATAATTTACTTTTATTATTGCTATTATTATTTTCATTACCACTACTACAACTACTATAATCATTATTACTGTTCTAACTAGCATATTCTAATTCTCATTCTCATTATTTTCATTATCATTATTGTTATTAACTTCATAATCATATTCATCATTATAATTTTTGTATGTTATCAT